CAGTCGACTTTATCAATAGGGCATTGCAAAACTGGGGCAGAATAACAAGTTGCAGTAGATATGTATTTCGATATGTAACCTTAATTGTCCACTGACACTGCACGTGTCTAACACGGACATTGGAGTGTGAAAGGGTGCAGCACGTTTTAGGCAAATCACGCATATAATTTCCCTTTTTTATTGTTTCTTTTTAAGATCTTCAACAGATGTCATAGTCTTTAAGTTACTCCATGAACAGTATCTCCTAGGTGTAGTGAATATTTTTGGTTCGTCGATCGATTAATTTCGCGTGGGCCGTTTGGGAACAATTACGTGATTACTATTTTTTCTTTTGTTGTTGTTGTTTTTTTTAACAACCGTCATATCCTGTCATATCTTGTCTATTTAAATGAAATTCCGTTTTACGAGCGGTATTTTCGCTTATTAGCAGCGTTCTCCGCAAGAAATTTAAATGTTAGTAACAACGATCCTGGTTTAGAAAAGATTTTCCCTAGCTGACAATATGTCCTTGCAATTTTTTTCCAATATTGGAAATGTGTGCTTTTTACCAGGTAAGCGGTTTGACTGTTTGACGGCCAGTCACCTAACAAACTAAGGGTCATTTGTTTATTAAGAAGATAATATCTATATAGTCAAATTGTTACTACGTCCGAATAACAATCACGTATAGAACCACATATCAAATATTAGTTCTCGCATATTGTAAATGACGCTGTGTGTATGTTTCCTATATGTGTAATCATAATTCCTTATTTCATAATCAGAATTGTGTAAATCTAACACCAAATTATCCAAGGATGCCTTCGTTGTAATAACGATGACTGAATTGCAAACGAAGCATCAAAGCTCTCCTTGCTTATGAATACACCAGGAGTTAGCAAAGATTACATTCTTTATTTTTTTATTGATGAAATAATTTAGATTAAACACGTGAAGAAAAAAAAAAGTTGAACAGAAGAGACTATGCCCCGTAATCTATCTGATGACTAGATGCACGCCTCGTATATTAGGCCTTGTATTGACAGAAAATGACAGGTTATAGTCGCACAAAGTAATGCATTGTAATATTTTGCTTTTCTTTTAAATAACAGTTTAAAATAACTCAAAAAGTTAAAATAATTGGTGGAAGCTGACATAAAGTTGAACTTCTTTTAGCCGTTATGAACCATTGCTACATTTTTTATTTTATTTTTCCATCATAAAGAGGTAACATGTGGCTAACATAACTTCTTTACACCAATTTTTTTACCGATTTTTCACAAAGATATTAGACAATAAATAGTCACGGAAGAGAACTCTTATTAGCGACAAAAACACAAGACCCTTTCAACCTCATACTAAACGAGCAGAACCTTCTATGCTCTGCCGCGTAGGGAAACGTTAACAATCCAAGAAAACCACCAATACTCAGTGAGATATGGCGTATACGGACTAAACTACTGCGATCATTGTCCTCAAAGCAAACAAGCCAAGAGAATCACCTTGGTATATGCGAATAGCTAGACACGGTCATTCACTATAATTGAACTAAGACAAGCGGAGTCAAAAGTGCCGCCCAATTGATATGTACACCTAAGGGCGCCCAAGGAGCTAAAAACTTATGAGTCATATGATTTGCTGACGGAGAAATATAGTCCGCTGCAAAGCCAGACTAGCCGTGCGATCAATCATATATCACCTGACCTGGTTAGCGCGCATCTAAAATTGTCTAAAATTGTACGCATTTCTCAGTTCTGCTTGATGTTCAGTTACTGCCACTCACTTAACTCTCAATGCCATACTGTGAGTTGCTGTACATGTGGTGCACGAGAAAGTCTTTGTGTATATCTAGCGTTGCGCCCTTTTTGATTTGAAGGGTATCCATAACCTTGTTATAGCTGGAAACAGATCTCTGTTATAGAAACTGAAGCGAACTGAGAAGGGCAAAGACAATATATTTTTGATATGTTTAAAGCTGCATTACATTTGCGTGCAAATGTGTGGATTTTGGTAGAAATAATGTTACGGATGACTAGTTAAACTTCCGCAACTTAAGTTGGATTTTAAAATTTTAAAAATGGCTAAATTCGCAAGTTTGACGCACTCCGGATGATTATTAATGCATTTTAAAAGTGTCCTTTTTTTAAACTATGGTCAAATATGGCCCTTGAGCTAAGAGCTTCCTTACACTTACATTTGTAAACTTTCTAAAATATTTTTTTATAGAACAAATTGAGTATCATGTAAAGGATCAGTGCCGTTTCGATTAACTTTATTCCTCAACCCATATTCAAGTTACTTCTTTTTATTACACGGCAATTTGTAGTTTTCTTTATTTATACTACTACATGAGAAATTTCTGCAATTTGATTGGCTTAGAGCAGTGGTGTTTCTGCTTAATTTGAAATACCTACATTTGAGAATTACAAAACCTTTGCGGGCGGTAGTATAAACGAATAATAGCATGATTTGTACGTGGTATTTGGCATAAGTACCACTCGTGATGTTTCAAAATTGTCTCAAATTTCACTCACCTAACGCCTCGTGAAATTATGTATAACAATTTCGAAATATCACTTGTGATATTTATGCCAAATATCACTACAAATCATTCTATTACCTGTACAAATTAAACTACCCCTTCAATAATCAATAACTATTGATCGGCTCGCAGCTTTATCTACTGCTGGTGATGATCGAACGTCAAAATAAGACCCCCTGGCCTGAACCTCTTCATCCTCTTCTGTCTTCAAAGTTAATTTCCATAATCTTGGACAGAAATTACTTTAAGCGCTATAAATAATGTTTATCTGAGAAGTGAATGTACCACCTGGTTAGCTCAGTTGGGAGAGCGCCGGTCTGCCGAGCGGGAGGTCGCGGGCTCAAACCCCGGCCGGACCAACACTCAGGGTCTTTAAATAACTGAGAAGAAAGTGCTGCCTTTGTAATGACATCTGCAATTGGTTAGACTTTCTAGTCTTCTCGGATAAGGACGAAAAACCATAGGTCCCGTCCAACAGCACTTTCACTGATTTGTTCTTGTGCCTCGTAAAAGAGCCTACATCACTATTCGAAAAGAGTAGGGGTTGTAGATCCCTGTGGTGTGGCCAACCTTTACGGGCTGTGGGATTGGGCAGGGATGGCACCTTGCATGGGACCTATGAGTCCCGTTCGTGCACATTCCCTCTGGGCAGGCCTGTGTCCAGAAAAGCTGGTAAATGAATAAGTGAATGAATAAATAAATAAATAATAAAAATGAATTATGGAGGGTTGTGGCAACGACTAGTAAAGAACAAATCAAGTAGTGTAAAAAGAGCAATTTTAACAACTACTTCTTTGTTTATTTGCTTCAGTTTTAGTTTTCACTTTGCTTCAACTGGCCAACGCGCAACCCAGTAAGTATATGCTAGATTTCACTTGTGTTATTATCATTTTATTTTCATTATTGTTATTACTATTATTATTATTATTATTATTATTATTATTACTATTGTTATCAATATTATTATTATTATTATTATTATTATTATTATTATTATTATTATTATTTTTATCATCATTATTATTGTTACAAGTGAAACCGGTAAACGTAAGTTATAATTATTTTACTTTATGTAAAACTTCGAGTTTAAACCTTAAAATAATTTGATCAAAAAGGGTTAGTTTTTTCGTCTTTCTTCGGTGCCCCCAATTTATACGACGAAGTCACGGTTCGAGGTTGTCCGTTTTAGTAAAAAGTGATGTTATTTGCTTTTATTGAAACGAGTGGATGAAAATTGATTGCTCTTTTTGATGTACAAATCATGTACAGTGACATACAAATCATGCCAAAGAGAAAGGAAAATAAACTATTACAGCTGATTCTTAAGTCGTGGCAAATTAATAAAATGGATTTACAAAGAGACAGAGACAGAAATTGATCTTACTGAAAAGCAAAAAAAAAAAAAAAAAACTTAATAACGAACACCCTAGAAACCACTAAGCTGAAACCGTATGTCATGTTAGGCCCCTTTCAAACATAGAGTTTTTCATGAGTGCCGAACACCTATTTTAGTCGATGAAAACATAATTAAATACGGCAGTTGATTCAGACGTCGGATATAATGGTGCCGAATTTAAATCCGTTTGTTGTACATTATGTAATATTCCCAGCTTCTAGAAAAAATTGTTTTCCAATATGGATAAGGGTTTCTATAATTAATGCATTATATTCGGCACATGTGAAATACGACTTCTAAGCAAAATGTTGAACCTAAGTCGAATTTCGACTGTTTCAGTCACAGATTCGGCAAAGTCGTATTTAATTTGAAGCAGTTACCTCTCGAATTACATTAGGCACATGTAAAATTCGACGTTTGAGCTGGGTAATGATAACAGTGTCCAGTATTACTAAAAATACCTGTAGATACTCTATGATACATACATGTACGACATTTTTTATATTCCTGTAAACTTTGCTTTCAATTTACCACATTATGTTACTAATGCTATGTGCACCACACAGGTAAAAAAGCGAGTAAAAAAGAAAAAGAAAAAAAATAAGATTATGACAAATTTGCTTCAAGGGTATTCGAACCCGCACCCTCCGAATCACGTTAGAACTAAAAGTTAATGCCTCCATTGAGTACATGATGTTGTAGGGATTAGGGTATTGTTAAACACCTGCTTACCTATAATTTAATCCCGGTCATACGTCACGGTCTCGAATGCGGAAAGTTTCCTTTGATAAGATTATGATTCCTTTAAAGAAATTAAAAGGAAAGGCGCATCCAGATTTGAAATCCGGGGGCACTGAAAAGATACTTTGATATGGATTTAAGCGCCACGAAGGTTCATATTACCTGCTTTTAGCCCTACTTCCATACATGCATGAGCTAGCTCACTCTCAGTTCACTACTTAATCATACCCGGACACAACAACCTAGGTTTTTAATGAATTATATGATGGAATCAGACAAAAGCTTTTGTCTCGTTCTGCTGCAATAACAGACACTTATTTTTTTACATTTTGTCTATTACACATAGTATTATGTGGGTCTCGACCGAGCGCTAGTAATCGAATTGTTGGTGGTTCAGTGGCAAAAGTGAATAGCTGGCCGTGGCAGGTGATGTTGATCTTGAGATCGTCTGGAATACAGTTTTGCGGCGGATCGTTAGTAGACCGTTATTGGGTGGTGACTGCTGCACATTGTGTCGACCGCATACCAGCGTCTTTTATCAAAGTAAAGTAAGTTACGCTTGAAATAGTTCAAAGCCAGAAATAATACTCCACTTCAAAACCTTCAGAGAAGATGGGAATAGGTACAAGCTTTGGGCGCAGTGATTTCTGGGATTGTTTGGATAGTTATGATTATAATTATCGGGGCTTTTTATATCCTGGCAACATGCAGTAGTAGACTGTGTATACATCGTTTAGTAATTCTGGCGCCTTAACATCTCTTTTTAATTAACCTGCGATCAGGTGGCCCTTCTCCTTTATTTTTTGGGCAGAGTAGGAGTTGCTCGGAAGGTCTCTGCTAATTGGTCGCAGGGAGAAATTACATGTCATTCTTTCAATTGTTTTAGTATTGTTTGAGGTCAGGGTTAGGTATCATTGGTGTCTTCTCTTCCGAGCAGCTGCTACATGACCCTATTCTTTTTCAACAAAAAATAAACACATAAACAAAGAAATTAAAAAAAAGAAAAAAGAAAAAAAACGAAAACGATCACATTGGCCCTGTAAAGGATAATCATTATAAATGGTCATTTACTTACTTATTATGTTTTTAAAGGTTGGGAGCCCACTACAGAACAATCGGAAATGTTGGAACAGAACAGGAAATCCGGGTCGCACAGATTATCAGGCATAAAAGCTATAATAACCCGTTGAGCTTTAGCAACGACATCGCCCTGATTAAGCTGTTGAAACCTGCGAATCTTGGAATAGGCATCGGACTTGTCTGCCTGCCTGATAAGGGGCACGCTCTCCCTTTTGACAATTTGAACAAAAAGTGCTGGATAACAGGTTGGGGTACGTTGTCTTCAGGCGGGTCCCATCCAAATACACTCATGGAAGCTATGGTACCATTGGTCTCCAAGCGACGTTGTCTGAATTCCTACCCTAGAAAGATTGATGATTCGATGCTCTGTGCTGGTCTGGATGCAGGAGGAGTTGACGCTTGCCAAGGGGACAGTGGTGGTCCATTGGTGTGCGAGTTTGACGGTACATGGTTTCTTGAAGGTGTAACAAGTTGGGGTCAGGGATGTGGGTATGCTTCAAAGTATGGAGTATATGCTAAGGTTAGAGAACTGAAAGCATGGATAACCAGCCATATTTATCGAGCAATACCGCCTGCTGTTTCGCCACAGAATCAATCGGTGTCCGCGTTAGGTAAGAATTCTAAACAGCTTTTACATAACCCTTTCTTGGAAATATATAAAAAGTCACTTCACTGTGATCATCTAGCCAATTTACTGGCAAAAGGTCAATGACTCTAATGTAAACCATGCAATCGTCGTATTGATCGTGCTACAGGTTTTATAAACAATTCAGATTTCTTTATTAAAAATAGATTTTACTAGAAAGTTGATGTTTGGAAGAAAATTAATGAATGAGTGAATAAATGAACGAACGAACGAACTAACGAAAGAATGAGTAAATAGAGGAATAAAGAACGAACGAACGTACGAACGTACGAACGTACGAACGAACGAACGAACGAATGAAGAATGAATAAATAAATGAGTTAATGAATGGGTAGACGGACAGAAACGAATGCATTGATTTGTTTATTTGTTTATTTTACTTGCTAAGCGTGGTGCACATTTGACAATGGATTATGCTCCGGGTGGAGCCAATCCACTTCAGATGACTTTGATTGGA